AATAAAAATCTCGTCGGCATTAAATAACACCTTGCGGTTGATATAGCGTAAACTAAACCAAACCAAAGCCAGTAAATCTGTTCATTAGGACACGTAGAATCTGGAAACGTTATACAGTACTTACTTTGAAATGTTGACATGATAAACAAGGGCATAAAATATGTTTTAAAAAATCATTCTGTTTTCTCATAAACCGAGTTTAAATATGAATTTTAGGTTCAAAATCGGAGAGTTGGAAGTTAATTCCGGTGATCTGTGAATTTCTTATAGTAAAGCCTGATAAAATTTACAATTTATTGAAACTTTACAAATTGTATATGGACAAGATGCATGGCATAAGCACATTATAATTTAATCATTGTGCCACCAAATAAAACTATTATTTACTTTAAAGGGAAATTTTACTGAATAATTTAGCTATATTATCATGTAGCCGAGTGGTTAAAACGCTCGCATTCTGAACATGAGACTCGGGTTCAAATCTCACCATGGTCGATTTGTAAGTAAAAAGACTTAACATTAGAGATTTCCTGATGTTATCGGCCCGGATGCGTCGATCCCAGTGCGCCGTATCTTTGGAAAGTGCCTGATAAACCGTAAATACGGTGTCTTAACGGTTATCACTACGAAAAACGGATTTTGAAGTTTCTGCACAAGCTTCGGATGTTCTCTTATACAGTTCCAAAATTTACAAATCCACTTCTCCCTACGACGTCTCTCCACGGCAGTTATCTTGACAATAAATATCTCATCACTGACAGGCCACGATGGCTGACTAAGGAAAGAGTCGGTGAATGAGAACTAAGAGTCAACACTTTCGTTTACCAGTGAGCAAAAAAAAAACAAACCCTGCTGCCCATTTTAGCGAGTTAACATATGCACACATGTACCCTATGGCAAGTCGATTTTGGAACCGTGGTATCACACTCAATATAAAAGTAGCGGTTTGACATCATAAATAACGACACAAAATAGTTTTCCAAATCATTATCATTTTTTGAGGAGATGAGTTTAAAAGATTAAGTTTAAGTTCAAAATTGTAGCGTTGGAATTTCATTTCGATAATCAGTGAAAGCCTTATAGCACCTGCCTTATAAAATTTACAATTTACTGAAACTTTACAAATTTTATATGAACAAGATGCATAGTACAAGAACATTATTATTTAATCATTGTGCCACCAAATAAAAATATTATTTACTTTAAAGGGAAATTTTACTGAATAATTTAGCTATATTATCATGTAATATGTTATAAAGTGTTGTAGTTTTAGTGTGAATTTCAATAAACTATACATATTTAATACATTTTATCTTATAATTTGCGCTTAGCAGTATTAAAGCGTTATATACACTTTTACCTATTTTTTTTTATTAATTTTAATCTAATAAATGATCGAACAAATGAGCTAAAAAATCTTATTGAGTAACATTTTTTTGTAATCTTTTAACATTTTGTTACACAGTTTTACTTATCAAAAACAGTAAAGAAATCATATTTTGTTTGTGGTGACTCCTGATTAGAATTCTGGCTTGAATATATTTTCCCTTCAATGTATCTAATATAAAAATATTGACTTTAATTGTATTTATGTTGGAAAGAGTAAAATTTCGAAATCAGTTTGTAAGCAAAAACCTGCGTAAATTAGGTATTTCTGTGCATTCTTTACAGACGATGTTTAAAACTAAAGGCTCATAAATTGATAGAAGCTATCATTCTAATCCTTGATGTACTTACTTGTCACATCAGACCCCAGCTTTCACAACGAGTGCTATGTTTATTTTCTCAAAAAGTGTAAAACCAACCTGCCCTAATATACATGACACGGTAATGATTGTAGATAGAGGACAAGAAACTGCAGAAACTCTAAGAGACTATAGTACCTTACCAGAATTTACATATTCGCTATCGCTTCGCAAAGTGAGATATATTCACTACTTGAAATCTTTTAAAGAAAAATTTTAACTGAAATTGCATTCATAAATTTGTTGTAAGCATGAAAGAAACCATTTGTATTTATTCAGATAGATAAATATTAGAATTTTATCCATTTTAAACATATGAAACACGCTGAAACTGATTAATATTTAACAGGTGTTAACAGAAATAAAATTAATGTATTTGCATGAATGAAATAAACATAATTGAAATCAAAATGAAGTTCTCTTAAATAATTCTTACTGTTATGCAGCAGGATAAATTACATTGTTTTTTTTTTTATTTCAAGTAAGTGTGAATAAATTCCTTCCATTTCCAACTCTTGAACTGGCAACATATAATTGACCATGAGAAAAGCAGAATTTCATAAGGCAAAGTCCAGTAACTTTCATTATAACTGGTCAAGAGAAAAAGAAAAGACTGTACTTATTGCAATAATTTCATTGATTTTAACAGATATGTTTTCTGTTTTTAAACGGTTACCATTACCAGTCAGAGAATGTTTTTAATGACTATTAATAAATCAAATTTCAAGCACTTTTTCTGCACTATATAAGACAATATTCCTAAACAGAACAATTTTTATATGAAAATTAAAACAATTCTCGAACAAAAGAACAGTAATGAAGGACAGTTCATTAATGAAATATACTTTTTTTAAAATCATTATGCAAATTAGTTAAATCTGAGAAGGAATATCTCCTAGAAGTAGTTAATACATAAGTCAGATATTGAGTTTTTAAAGTTTAAATTACTCTAAAGTCGATTGTAACACATTATCATCTCTCAGTTGCATCTCTTTCTTTGGGTAGAGTGCGTTCAGGGGCGACTCCGTCAGAGTCGCAAATGAGGAAAATTATAGTGAGAGCCACCGGCCCTGGGAAAAAGTTGCCCGAGGCCACGCTTTCTCATTGCACTAGAGAGAAGGATCGGTGCCCGCTCCGAGGCCAGCAGAACTGACGGTTGCGGGGGCTCAGGAAATTTTTGTTCCTTGCCGGGTGCACGCACTCTGGCTCCCCGCATTAAACCGACCTTGTGTCACAACCTGACCTCGTAGGGGTTCAAGTAAATACCGTCTAAATTACTCTAAGGTAGTTTGTAGCACATTATCATCTCACAGTTGCGTCTCTGTCTTGGACATAGTGCGCTCAGGGGTGATTCCGTCAAAGGACAGAGCCGCAACTGAGGAAAATTATACTGAGAGGTGCCAGCCCTGGGTAAAAGCTGCCCGAGGCCGCGCCTTCTCATTTCACTAGAGAGAGAGATCGGGGCACGCAACGAGGCCAGCGCAAGAGACAGTTGCGGGGACTCGGGGAATTTTTTTTCCTTGCCCTGGCGCACGCGCTCGGGCTCCCCGCATTAAACCGACCTTGTATCACCACCTGACCTCGTGGCATTTGAGTAAATATCTACTCTAAAGTAGTATGTAACACATTATCATCTCTCAGTTGCTTCTCTGTCCTTGGGAGGAGTGCAATCAGAGGCGGCTCCGTCAAAAGACAGAGTCGCAACTGAGGAAAATTATACTGAGATGTGCCGGCCCTGGCCGCGACCTCTTATTGCACTAGAGAGAGGGATCAGTGCGCGCAACGAGGCCATCGTAACTGGTGGTTCAGGGTGCTCGCGCTATTTTTGATTCTAGCCTGGGTGTACGCGCCCGGGCTTCCCACATTAAACCGACCTTGTGTCACAACCTGACCTCGTAGGGGTTGAATAAATACAAATTACTATAAAGTACTTTGTAACACGTTTATTTATCACATCTCAGTTGCGTCTTTGGGCAGAGTGCGCTCCCGGCTGAGAAAAATATTCTAAGAGGTGACAAGCCTGGGAACCAGCTGCCAGTGGCCGTGCCCTATCATTATGTCAGAGAGAGGGATCGGTGCTCGCACCGAGGCCAGAGTAATTGACGATTGCGGGGCTCGGGCAAACCCTATTCTAAGGCTGGGTGTACGCGCTCGGGCTCTCCACATTAAACCGATCTTGTGTCAAAACACGACATCGTGAGGGGTTCGAGTAAATATGAAATTGCTATAAAGTAGATTTGGAGCTTTTTAACCTCAGAATCGGTGGGAAAATTAAGCTCCAATTTTGTAATTTATTCATATAAATCGGTAAGAATCGACAAAAAAGTTAATATATACGCATTATCATGTGTAACAGTCGAGTATGCAATCTAAGAATTTGAGGATCAATCCAGCGCACATATTTAACTGTCTTGGTAGTGTTAAAACAGATACCGGAAAATGTGATCCCGACATCCGAAGGCTATTTTGCAGAGCGAAATATGCATTCCAAGACCTTACAAACCATTCAGAAACAGGCAAAATCCATTAGAAACAAAATCGTCCAACGAGTTTTCCATTGGGAGTTCATTTCTCGGCTGATGGCCATTTCAATTTAGATCGGCACGTCTGAAATCTCATTAACCTCTTTATTGTCGGAGTGATGAAAAGAGATAGATGTGTTTATAACTTTTGAGGGTATTTATGCGAAAGGCAACGTGTCGGCCGCCGTTAGAATTGGAACGCAGCACATCAGTCACATTTCAGCGGGGATAACTGCTATGTTATATACGTATCGCTTGATTACATATTTGTTCAGACTGGTATGTCGCCATCTTGGTAAGCATGAATCTATTGTAGACATTTTATATTTCTTTTTATTCTATGTACTGCCTCCGTTCAGGAGGAATGCGACCGTGGTTCTCCAAAATTTCCATCCTTTGTAGCTCTTAATAAATATTACCTTTTTGTTATCTCTCTTAAAACTTACTTCACCAAGCTCAGGCTCATATTATGCGTTTCATCGTTCCCTAATGCCGTCAATCAGGCCTGTAAGTAGATAATTTTCCAAACCTTTTCTCATTACGTAACTTAGAAATTTCAAATGTCTCTTCTTGATATTGAGTATCTTTTATTTTCCATTTTCTTTAAAAGTTCTTCAGGACAGAAAGATACAAATGGTGGGCACGAACTTAGAATCGAACGCACATATTCTCAGAAGTCTGCGAGATTCTTTTGCTAACGACTGCAGCACCGTGGGACATTCGTTAAGCTTAGCTATTGATTAAGAATAAGGAAATCGGATATCATAAAACATCTTCCACTCGCAATAAATCCGAATGAACTTTTCTTGAACAGGTGGAGAGAACAACATTTTCGTTTAGCGTACAAGTAATCGTTAAGCACGGAAAGAAGGGTAAGGAAAAGGTCACTCCGGAAACACCACTGGAAACGCATGGAATCTATTGAAGTGAGTTTCAGGGAAGAACGGGCTTGGGGACATGGGATGAAACACAAGCCGAACGTGTCCGATAAGGATTTGAGCAGGGTGCCGTTAACAACACATTTCCGCTTCCGGTAAGAAATTGATGTTCCATCGATCGCTAATGATCCGATGGTGTGCATGCGAACAAATCTGAGGCCGTGTAGATTCTTTGAATCGGCGGATATCACCACAAGGTGGCGGAACAGCGTTTTCGTGCAACGCTGTTCGTGAAGACTACCATCCATTTGACTGATCGTAGATGCATTGCTCGAAAAGTAACAAAAGAACGCAAAAATCGAATGTGCGCTTATCTACTTGACTTTGTCAAAACTTCGCTAGCAAAATATATTGGGAGTTAAAATATATCGCGATCTAGATTCTAACACACACACACATACAAACATATATATATATATATATATATATATATATATATATATATATATTCATTATTCGGACTATTGTCCTCATCTCTGTCATTATATTTATTACAACATTTCGGTCCTTGTACGCTCCGGCCTTCTTCAAGTGGTTGGAATGTTGAACTGAACCCTTTATGTCAAGGACACATGGCACAGTGGATAAAGGCGTTACTTAGATCCAGTGACAGGACCCAAAGAGTGTGCGTTCAGTACCCGGTTAAGGCAGTGGAGAACTTAGGGAGAGGAATTAACAGGAGATAGGAGATAACTGATAACTGACATCCATTAAAAAACATAGCACCTGGAACTAGAACAGAGTACCCCAGTGAGCGAAATAAAGGGTTCAGTTCGACATTCCAACCACCAGAAGAATGCCGGAGTGTACAACGGCCGAAACGTTGTAATAAATATGGCGACAAAGATGATGACAATAGTCTGAATAATGTAAATAATGCACATAATAACTCATCTCAGATATATATATATATATATATATATATATATATATATATATTTCTTAGAGATTTATTCAGTTTCGAATAATTGAATACATGAACGCAAGATGATAGAGCTTTTTTCTTTGAATTGGTATCCCACCATGCAAAGCAGTAATGCCACTAAGACGCAATGAGTTACAGTGTTTGGGTGAATTAGGGACAGAAGCATTAATAATGAGCGGGAAGAAAAAAAGAGTAATCCAGACGACAATAGATAACGATTGACATCGGATTTAAATTTCTGCAGATTAAAGCAGGCTAGGAAGCATAGCGCCGGAAGGCTGTTCCACAAGCGAGAAAAGAAACTGTTAGCATAGAACTTGCGGATACATCTAGCAACTCAACTATAAATTGCTAAGATCTAGACGTCAGTCTAGGTCTGTGCTTAAATTAAAAAAGTCTAGGTAACATAACGAAGAGCATAATTTATTTGTAAAAATATAAAACACAAAATGTGGCACAAAGCCAAAAAAGGGCAATTGAGAAAAGGACGGTTATCTTCATTCTTAACGTTAAACTTAGCTATCCACAAACACTGACCCAAACATAACTTTTCCTTACACCAAAACATTGCATTCTTACTTACCATTCTAACTTCATCCATCATAATACCTCAGAATCTTCATGGAGTCCTAAATAGTCCTCATGTGTGCAATTCATTGTCTGTCGGGGAGAAGGAGAATAAAACAAGAATTTATAATCTAACCCCATTGTGTATTTACAATACATAACGAAGAGCTCGTCCTAAAAATTACCATGAATTTATTTATAGCATAGGCACCTAGAGGCAACCTTACGGCGATGGACAAGTGATCGAAGGCAAACCATTAGATCAGGACAAATAATAATGTTGATTCTTTGGATTTTATCAAGAAACTCAAGGTAAGGCGGTACCGGCAATATATGGCAGCAATATTCTAAGTATATGTGTTACGCCAATATTTTCGTTGAGGAAGACAATCTTTTCTAGAAAATCAAAGACACACACGCACAGTCTTGAGTGGATACACTTTTCTGAGAATACATATTCCCTAGGGTATCTCGCTGTAAACGCTAACCACAGATGAAATCCCGCTAGCATCTGTTATTAATATGGTAAATATTTTAATGGGTTACTATCTTTAGTTCCACCAGCTCAGACCTTCACAGCTAGCACTTTCCATGTCACGTACACAGTTTCAAACATTCAGCAGTCCCTTCATATTTCTTTAGTAAGGAGCAAATTTCAAACAGAAAACTTCTACCCGAGTCAATTTTCTTTGCGGAATAAATTCCCACGAGGATACTTTCTCGACCATTACAATTTTAATATTTTCACGTCTAGAATCAACATACATATCATCATAACAGACACCTCTTCTTCCGTCCCGTTACGCAATTATAACAATCTCACTCCTTAATGCTCTACATGGACTGGCTCTTGGGTCTTGGATTGTTGAACTAAAGCTTTTATATTGCAGCTATGCTAATCGGAAACTAGTCGATTTTTAAGGGAGGGTGCGTACAGTCTTGTGAGGTCAGTAGCTGAACAAAGCCAGTACACGTAATCGCTCAGTCACAGTGACTTATGATTTCTTGCTAGCACAACAATCGATGGTATCGGAACAGATTCTTCTACAAAAGGAATGAACTAAAAAGGAATCTTTTATAGCAATGTTTTCCTTTGGTGGGTTAAATTTGGTTATATACCTTGTCTTGAATAAAAATTACAATTAATATTTAGAAACGTGATGAATTCAAATTCAAGTCGGATCCAGACCTTTTTTTTATTTTGTTTGTGAATTCCTCTCTTTGCGTTTACAATTTTCGCAAGAATACAGATCGTTAGATTAACAACCTTCTTATTATGTTGGAATATCTTAATGCAAATCTTTATTAATATCAGACTAGATTATAATAAGTCAGTTTGGTAAATAATAATAATGAGAATATATTTATGTAATTACTTCATATAAAATAGGGCAATTAAATCGACTATGTTTCAAAGCATTCGATACTGCATAAAGACCTCTTTGAATTGCTACGAAAACTTAATTCATTCTGGAAAGGTATTAGAATTACCCACAACATTTACTAGGAACAAACCAGAAAACAAATAGAAAAAATGAATTTAACGTGAATACAAAAATAAGAGTCCGCGTTAGACAGTCGTTTTCTCACCGACTTTTGATACTAAGAACACTAGAAATTCTACCAGCAACTACTATTACTAGATACAAATAATATAAGATACGTAATGACACCATAGTGCGGAAACTCACAGAAAAAAGTATATACTGGAACTCATAAATAAAGTAGTAAAAAGAAGACTGAAATGACTAACCATCAAAATGAAAATAGAGAATGTATTGTCGTTAGCAAGAGAAACGGCACAAAAGGAAAACAAATTGGAGAAGAGAAAATCAACAAATCTGCGAAGTGTTTTAATAGAGAATAACAGAATTTCGAATGTGCAGCAGAATAGCAGAAGACATCTGCCAAAAATAAGGAACGAATTAAGATACAGAAAAATCATTACAAATCAAAAAATAAAATTTAATTTCAAGATAATCCAAAGAAAATTAGAAATTCTACCTGGATTTATTATTATCAGATACAAATAATATAAGATACTCACATGACATCATGTTGAGGAAACCCACAGAAAAAATGATGTAACATCTAAACAAAATCGTAAAGGCAAAAGCGAGAATGGCTGGTCGATAGCGAGATACACCATCCAAAATGGAGATGTGAAAATCGAGAACAACAGAAATTTAATTATCTGTGAAGGGGTTTAACAGACAATAACAGAAATTCGAAAGTGCATTGGAACAAGACCTGTCAAAAATAAGCTACGAATTAGTATAAAAAAACAAAGTGTTGAATTAATATATGATATATATCCTCCTATTTTCCTGATAATTGTTCTGATGTACTTACTTCCTTGTTACTTAGACCATGAAGTTAAGTGTTCTACTACATTGGCGGTAAGATCCCATCATGTTATTGTTCGAATGGATAAATATAACCGTAAATTCTATGCTAAGAGTTTCTTCTCTGGCACTTCTCACCTTTGGAAGTCTCTTCCGGTTTCATGCTTTTCTGTCTACTATGATCTTCCAAAAGTTAAATGCAATTTCAATGGTTATATTCATTTCCTCTTATTATTAACTCTCCTTAAGGTTTTCTTTTTCTCATATTCTCTTATCCTCAGTAACCCCTTGAATCTTATTGACTATATCGACTTGCTCCTGGTGATATAAATTATATGGAAAATGACAGTGACTAACTAGAAAATATTTCCCACGGATTTTGAAGACAATGCATCTGAAATGTGGTACTACAGAGGCATGTAGAGAGTATAATGGATTAGAAATTTGGACAACAAGGAAGTTTTAAGGAACTTGGGCACCTGTTCTTGGGATGAGAATGGAATTGATCTTTCTGAGAGACATAATAGGAGGAATGGTCTTAGTATATTTAAAACTCAGCCAAGAAATGCAGAGTTTGGCGCAGTGAGCAACCTAAATATCAAGGCTTGTGAAGATGGAATTGTGGTCCAGTTATGGCAGGAGTAAAAGTATAGCTTAAAAACAAAAATCCCTGTGGTAATGACGTATCCAATATCCATATATACGAATGTACCATTCTCATTTATTCAAAAAGAGCGTTTTTTCTTGGTTGGGGTTTTATTAAAAAATTGGATTTATTAAATTGTGCCTGTAGGAAAAGACAGATGAAATTTTTATGGCTTGTGAAATGTGTACTCACAGAATACAGTACGTGCAAGAGGGACAGAGGAAAACAGCATATAACATCCTTGGGGAGCTTGAGTAAATGGAAATAATAGAAAGACAAAATTTATTAAGAGAAACAAAAATCAGAAAATTTGGAGAGCCATGATCGGCTTCGTCTTGAGATGGACACGGCACATAAAAAAAAAAATCATGAGTAATGTTTGATATGTTTCCCCACCTGAATGTAATGAGACTGTTTTGCATCCTCTTAAATTGGGAGCCGGTGAATAGAATTGCCATGAAATTTGGAAAACATTAAGCAGGTGTTTTATTAAGAATATTTCTTTAGAAAGAAAAAAATTGAAGTTGAATCCATTGTACTTCTAAGGCATAGTAATATCTCTCTTTCTATGTAATGGTTAGTTGCAATTTTATGTCAGAATCAGTGGATAGAATCCGAAAGCTGGTAAAAACCAAATTAACCTCTCCCCCCCCAAAAAAAGATTCTCTAGACAGACAAGTGAACATTTTTATTTGAAAGACAGTCGATCGATAATTGTGCCCAATTCATATATATATATATATATATATATATATATATATATATATATATATATTATAAATTAATTGATTCTAAATATGGATTTTTCGCTACACAGTTCTAACCATGTTTCAACATTGAAACATGGTTAGAACCGTGTAGCGAAAAAAAACACATTTTGAATCAATTAATTTATAATATTAATGTTCTGTAAATTTACATTGAGCACTATTTTGTAAAAATAAAAATATCTATAAGAACACCGGATTATATATCTTACTCTTCTTTTTTATTTATTTATATGTATATATATATATATATATATATATATATATATATATATATATATATATATATATATATATATATATGTGTGTGTGTGTGTGTGTGTGTGTGTGTGTGTGCGTATAACAGACTAAAAAGTAAAATATCAAAGTATTTTTATTCTGTTAAGGATTGTGCATTTTCTGCATTGTATTCATTATTTATGCGCATATTATCCAAAGTTTCTAAAAAGACTAAAAATGGGAAAGCATTTTTTTTTCGAAGAAATCTTCCGCCCCCACGTAATACATTTGAAATTTGTCCATTTTTTCAGTGGAATCGAAAAATAACTTATTGGTCGTAGATTGTGGATGAAAACTATTACTCATGAGACGACGCGAAGGTTACTGAAAAAAACTTGATCTTTTTATATCTAATTGGCAATCGATTGCTATAATTTGCTTGTGACAAAAGTATTTACCTACTCAGCAGTACAGAAATAGATCAGAATATCTTGAAACATCAGGTCAGTGTATGGCTCATACAAAATCTTTTTCTTGTGCTTTACGGGGTGCTAAGTTTTCTGATGCAATAATCTGTTTAATTATATACATTACGTATATATATATATATATATATATATATATATATATATATATATATATATATATATATATATATTGCGTTTATACTTTATTTTTATACCAGCAGCATGGCTCGGCGCTGCCCGTGCTTGATTCAAAAATTGTACGACTCATACAGCAATCGCTATCACTTGACTTAAATATTTTTGCCCTTCCTTGCCTTTAAAGGAGTGCCCTTCGCCGTGCTGATGTTGCTACATGCCTTACTTCTTGCCTATCTCACGCTGCGAATTTTTTCTAAGCTCTATACTAAACATTAAATCTGTTACAAAAAAAGACCTAAACAAAATGAACACAAAACGATCATCTTTAAAAAAGGACTCGTAACTGGAAAATCCGAATGAAAAAAGAATGTTAACAACAAATAATTTTTCACACCCAATCCAGTTCTGCAGAATTAGAATCAACGTTGAGTTTAAGCAAGCGAATGAGCCAATTGGAGTAAAGTGCCATGCAGATTTAAATTTTTCCCACTTTTGACGAATGCAGCTATCGATTTCTTTTGCATGCTAGTTAACATTCGTGTCAGTCAGCTGTTGGCTCTCACGCTGGCCAATAGAATCTTCCTGCCTATTCGTGGCAGCCAGCTTTGGGCTCTCACTCTGGCCAGTAGAAAATGGCCGCAAACTACATGGAAACTGCCGTAGAAGCATGAAAAACCAATTATTTCGACTATCGATGGGAGTTGGGAAATGCAACGTCGGTCTTGGTCTTCCCACTAATTTGGAGCACGTGCATGTAAATTTTGGTGCAAATCCATCGAAATTTGCGGCCGTGCATTCATTGCACACACACACATCCTACATTTATAGATAGTTATATATATAATTTATTTAAATAAATCATCTGTTTTTTTTTTCATTAATCAATATCAATTACATTTAGCAGCCAGAAAATACGTGCTTCTCTGATAGGAACGGACCCTGAGTCTGTTAATTTCGAACATTCAAACCGAGAAATGCAATTCATACTGTTTAAAAAATCACTCATTTGTTTCTTTTTTTGTCATAAAGTGATATTTATCATCGATAACAAAAGTTAGGATAGAGTGTTAATAGAATTAATATTGTCTTCACATGCCCTGAAGAGTGAACCTGTTATCTTGATGTGATCACGAAACTAATTCCAACACCTCGCAGCTAAGTGATTAACTTCTCCAAATATATATATATATATATATATATATATATATATATATATATATATATATATATATATATATAAACATAAAGATATATAAACGTAAATATATATAAACGTAAATATATAAACGTATATCTATCTAGGTATCACTCTCTCTCTCTCTCTTTCTCTCTCTCTCTCTATATATATATATATACATATGTGTGTGTCTGTGTGTGCGTGTGTGTGTGTATAGATAGATAGATATAAGCAGCCTCAGATAGATAGATAGATAGATAGATAGATAGATAGATATAAGCAGCCTCAGATAGATAGATAGAGAGATAGATAGATATAAGCAGCCTCAGATAGATAGATAGATAGATAGATAGATAGATATAAGCAGCCTCAGATAGATAGATAGATAGATAGATAGATAGATAGATAGATATAAGCAGCCTCAGATAGATAGATAGATAGATAGATAGATATAAGCAGCCTCAGATAGATAGATAGATAGATAGATAGATAGATATACGTTTATATAATACTATTTTTAACCCATGAAAATTTCACGGTTTTTCTATTTTAATATTGTAATGAATTTTAATTCTTAAGCAAATGATTGTTTAAGCTGATGGCGAATTCTACACCAATAAAATATCCGTATTTCTCCTATCGCATCGTTAAATATTTGAGCTTAACAACGTTAATACAATATTGCTATAGCTATCATAAATATGAATGCTGGTCATTATTTTAAGAAGTAAGGGGGTACAAATGAATAAGATTTGAAATTGAGAACTTTTTCTATTTCACTGTAACAGACGTTAAACACTTCTATCTTCCATTCATTATTTCCTTTTCACACTGCAACCATGTTTTTGATATCCTTGTCCTCTGATGCAATCAATAACAAACCATATATTATGAGGTATTATTAGAAGACGTTAGATATTTCTATCTTTCTTTTTTATTTATTTCTTTGAAACCAAGTAGCGTCTCTGATACGTGTTTTTGTTCCACGTGATCAAAACGGAATTGTCCATTATTTATATGGTAGTGGTCGGGCATAGCGAATTAACGAAGGGAGGGAAAAGCACAATTATAAGATATGTCATAATAGGCATCCGTTTATATCGTGAGATAAATGTAGCGACATGATTGTCAAAATTCAGTCTTTTGGTGGTAAAAACTGGAGTCTTGAGCGATGCTTTATAGAGGCCGTGTACTGTCCAGATTACATGGCCACACTCTCGTGTGGCACCTTGCATTATTAGAAATATTCATAGAAATATGATTTAATTTTTTTTTTACTCGGTTTATTAAACAGGTTGTTAGTTTTTTTTTTAGACGAAGAATAATTGAGTTGAAAATAATTCACTAAGTTGTACTTAGACGATCCTAAAAGAAAAAGAAAAGAAAGAGGAAGAAAAAGAAAAAAAAGAAAGAGAGATGGATGATGCATGACCCAGTCATTAGTGAAAACAGGTGTCAGAAAGATATCTTGGTCAACATGTTGGCCGAATTTCGAAGGACAATAGGGATTTGTTATTTAGAAGGGAAAGTCATTTAGAGAGTGGAAGGGACCATGCTTGATAAGAGTGTATTGATAATAAAAAAATATCGGTCGAAGCACATGACCGACTTTTGCGTAGAAAGACTCATTATCAATTTGGAGAAAGGTAAATTTTTTTTAGAACAATGGAAACGAAATTTTAATCGGAGAAAAGTGTCTTTTGGGTTGAGGGGGTGACCGGTGGAACTGTATACAGATTCTGACCTGTTAAGGATTGGAACCCCACGATGATGAAGCGGAGACATTTTCAATTCAGATAATTAAGATTTTTTACTATCAGGTCTGACCAAAAACAAAGAGGAAAAAAAAACGATTGTCTCGGCTCACAGATAGCGCCAATATTCTTTCCTGAAGTCACATCTAATTAGCGGCAGGCTGTTTTGACAGAACCCAGGTGAGAAAAAGCCAAGATTATCATTTTCGTACGTGCGAAAAGGCCAAATTAGATTTTTTTTTTTTTAGAACAAGAACGATGTAAGCCACGCCTGATTGGAGACGGAGGCGTCCCACCACAGACTCATTAGCCGAAAGCGGTCACGTGATATGCGGAAAGAGGAGGAGAATGCTCGATCAAGAACCATTGGTCGAAAACGGTCACGTGGCATGCGGAAAGAGGAGGAGGAATGTTCGATCAGGAACCATTGGTCGAAAAACGGTCACCTGACATACGAATGACCGGGAGAGATGGTATGCGTCCCCCCCCAGAGGCACTGTGAGGAAGTAGGGGTGAAAATAATAGCGATAATGGGAAATCAGAACTAATGCGACTTTTGGGATTATCGAGAGAACTCCCCCTGACGCCGACAGACCCACCCCCGGTTTGCTGCGGCGTCAATAAAAGCAGGACCCCAATCGACAAAAATGAGTTCAGCCCCAGACGGCAGCGAGAAGAGACCACCTCGGACGACAGAGAGTTGCGGCTGAGTTGCGGCAAGAAATCCTTCCACCCAAGTCGAAAACAAGAAATCCTTCCACCCAAGTCGAAAACAAGAAATCCTTCCAGCCCAAGTCGAAAACAAGAAATCCTTCCAGCCCAAGTCGAAGACAAGAGAAGTTCCATCTAAGTCGACGAAGAAGAAGATTACTCGAAAGCCGCGGAGAAGTTGCAGCCAAGTCGAAGACAAGGCCAAAGAGTTACTGGACGGAAGAAGAAGAAGAAGTTGAAATCAAGCCCAGCCGAGAACAGAATTCGACCCAACCAGATCGAAGTGAAGAAATACAACTCAAGTCGAAGGGAAGAATCAACTGCGAATGATTGACAGAAATTAGCCCCAGTGTCGAACTAGACCACACTCCGACATACATAATTCTGAAGAGTAGGCAATTCGAAATCTTTAAGTTGTATGATAGAAGCTTGGTGCCATAGTCCACAGAGCGGTCGGGAAATAAGAACAATTTTTCTTTGTGTAACGGACATTAGATATAAAAGGTTGTCACCCTTTTTATCGGTAATTTTTGTCTCGTGAGTTTTTTTTTTTTTCTTTTACTTGTGTTTTGCCACCCCCGTCGGACTCAACTTGTATCGGCCCCTAATCCCTGCTGGTCCTGTCTGTCTAAGATCTAAACACAACGTGGGTAGACAGACGGAGATCAGTACAGTTGCTTCAGTAACCAGGTATTGGAAGCGAGTTGGGAAAGGCGAGGCTGGTGATCATCTAACCAAGGGGTTGGAGCGGCACGCTTGGAACCGGGAGGAGCGACCAGGAGGAGCGACGTCACAGTTGGCGCCGTAACCAATGGATTCGACCCTGGGCCAGGTGTGTACCCGTCACACTTGGCCGTATCGACAACATCCAAAAGAATACAGGGAATTTTATTTGAGGACGGCTTGGCTGCAATATTTGCCGGAAAGTTGTCAGATTTATCTGTGTGGATTTACTCTCAAACCTTTTCCTAGTTCGAATATGACCGAAAAATATCAGATTTTTCTGCCTGGTTTGTCATGCTCCCACGCGAAGCAGATGGTTAAGAAACGTCAGTTTTCCGCCTTCGCTCATTCTCCAGTTTGGTGCAGGGCTGAGTTTGTAGAGGCAATTTGAGACGCTTATCACAGAAGCATTTTATAAACAGTGGGATCATGTCGTAACTACCATTCCGGTTATAAAAATACAAACTTTGGTACATATATAATGTACCAATATATAACATTATCTGTATTACATAATAGACAAGCGTAACCGTAACAGGAAAATTAACACAGAATGTGAGCTTTATAGCAAATTAAAGAAATGGAGGAAAAATCTGGCGAAAGACTTAAAAAAGAGTTTAGTCTATAGCATTACACGAAGAATTAAGGCTGTTATTAAAGCAAAAGTTTACCCAACAAAATACTAAATCATTTTTGACTTGTATAATATACATATATACGCCTGTATTAAAACCCTGTATTAATAAACGAATTTAATTACTAACTTCTCTTGGTAAAATACAAAAATCAACTTTCTAAGGGCCCGTTCATTTTTTGCCATGTAATGTATATATATATGAAATATATATATATGAAATATATATATATATATGTTAGCTCTATCTCTGTAATTCAGCGCTTTCTAATAAGTACCGAGCATATAATATATAAATAATTATATATATATATATATATATATATATATATATATTTATTTATTTATTTATTTATATACACAGACATTCACACACACACACACACACACACACACATATATATATATATATATATATATATGTACAATATACACAAATAAATGTTTTCTCATATATATATAAATATATATATATATATATATATATGTTTTTTCATATATATATATATTTATATACACAGACTTTTCATATATATATATATATAGTATGTACAATACACACAAATAAATATGTTTTCTCATATATATATATATATATATATATCTATCTATCTATCTATCTATCTATCTATATATATATATATATATATGTAAATATATTTTCTCATATATATATGTGGCACCCTGCATTATTAGAAAACTGAAGAGAGATATTCATAGAAATATGATTTAATTTTTATTCGGTTTATTAACCAGTTGTTAGTTATTTAGAGACGTAGAATAATTGAGTTTTGAGAATAATTCTCTAATTGTATTTAGGCGATCCGAAAGAAAGAGGAAGGAAAGAAAAAAAAAGAAAAAAAAAAGAAATAATAAAAAGAGAAAGAGGAATAGATAATACAAAACCCGGTCATAAGCAAAACAGGTGTCAAAAGATATCCAGGTCAAAGTACCTGACCGAAATCCAGGGAAATAGAAATTGTTATATTTGGTTGAAGAAATAGAGTTTAGAGATAATAAAATAAAAAAAAAAAAAAAGAAAAGAAGAGGAAAGACAGAAACATAATACGAAACAAGTTCGTAAGCGAAAACACACACGTTCGACCGGCACAAAATTATCAGGTCAGGCACTTGAACTAATTCCGTGTCCGCGTAGGATGGAAGTTTGTTAAAGTTGGCTGAAGCAATAAAGATTTTAAGAACAATGGAAAAAAGAAATATTAATAAGTGACAAACGAAAAGGGTGTCATTGAGTTGATAAGTGACCGCTGGAATTGTATACGAAAACAAAAAACCATTAGTATACAAATCCTGACCAGCTCTAGAGTTGAAGATAAGAACCACCCACGATGATGAGTGAAGATATTTTCAATTCAGATAATTAAGATTTTGCTAACAGGCCTGAGCGAAAAAAAGAGGTGAAAGCAATTGTTTTAGCTCACAGAGGGCGCCGGCAGGACGAGAAAAATTCTTCCTGAAGTCACATCTAATTAGCGGCGGGCTATTTTGACAAATACCACGTATACGAAAAGGACAATTTAAATTTTGTTTTTTTAAACAAGGTGTTTCTTCCCCAGAACAAAGCCCCAGATTGACCACGCCCGATTGGAGACGCCACGAAGGAGGGAGAGACACCCG